TTTGGTCACCTATAATGGAAACTCATCAGAAACCTTACAGACCAAAAGAGAATAGAATGATATATTCAAAGTGCTAAAAGAAAAAACTTCCAATCAAGAATACTATATCTACTAATCATAAATGCAAATCAAAACTATAATGAGATGCCACGTAACTCTGGTAAGTCACAAAACAGCAGATGCTGGCACAGGTGCAGAGAAAAGAGAATGTTTCTGAAAATATTGTTGGTGGGAGTGCAAGTTAGTTCAACCCCTATGGAAAACTGTGTGTGATTTCTAAAATAACTAAAAATTGGCCTTTTCGATATGGCAATATACCCAGAGGAACACAAATCATTCCACAATATACCCGGAGGAACACAAATCATTCCACATGCAGATTTATTGCTATTCACAATAGCAAATACATGAAAACAACCCTACTAACCATGGGAAGTGAACTGGATAATGACAATGTGGTACATATATGTGATGGAGTATTACATCGTCATAAAGAAAAACAAAATCATCGACTTTGCAGCACATTGGATGGAGTTGGAGACCAAAATACTAATTGAGCTATCATAGAAACAAAGAATTGGATACCATATGTTCTCACTCATAAGTGGGCCCTGAACATCAGTCACATTAGAACAAAGGTGGGATCGGGTGGGATCGGCAGTTGCTGGACACTGGGAGAGAGGAAGGGAGGAGATGGGAGGGACATGACAACAGAAAGGGTACCTGGTCCACTACCAAGGAGAGTGAGAGCCAGTTAGAAGAAAAAGAATACTATAAAAAGAGAGAAAGAATACTTTATTTATTTATTTATTTTTTAATGTAACTAACGAATATTTCTTTTTTGCACATTCGGTACAAAAAAGAAATAAAACTTGCTACAGTTGCACTCCTCAAATCGCTGCATTTTGGGCTATGAGATTCCATATCAAGAAAGAATACTTTTTAAAAAACAATACTATATTCCAACAAAATGAAAGGACAAATGCACTGTTTTCCAGACAAACAAATGCTGAGGAATTTATTACCATTAGAATGGCCTCAAGCAATACTCAAGGGATCCTTAAGTCTGGAAGTATAAGGAGGACACCACCATGAAAACACTTGATAGTATAAAACTTACTCATAAAGCAGTCACACAAAGGAAGAAGAGAAAAGATTCAAATGGTACCACTACAAAAATCCACCAAAACACAATGGCAACCAATAAGGGGAAAATAAATGAACAAAGAATATATAGAACAAAAAAAAAAAATTAGCAATATGCCAGGAACAAAGCCTCATATATCAATAATAACCTTGAATGTAAATGGATTACATTTTTCATTTAAAAGATGTAGAATGAATGGATAAAAAAAAAAAAACCAGCAACATGATCCAACTGTATGCTGCTCACAAGAAATTCACATTACCAATAAAGACACATATAGACTGAAAGTAAAGGGATAGAAAGATATTCTACACAAACAGAAATCAAAAGTGATCAGGAATAGCTATACTTATATCAAATAAAACAGACTTTAAGCCAAGAACAGTTGAAAACAAACAAGCAAAGTCATTATATAATGATAATTGGATCAATCCAGCAAGAGGATATAACAATTCTAAGGATATATGCGCCCAACACTGGAGCACCCAGATTCATAAAGCAAATGTTACTCGCTCTAAAAGAGAGAGAGAGAGACTGTAATAACAGTAATAGTGGGGACTTCAACACCTCACTCTTAGCATTAGACAGAAAATCAATGAAGAAAGGTTAGATTTAAACTGGACTTTAAATCAATAAACCTAACAAATATTTACAGAAAATTCTATTTAACAAGTGCAGAATATACATTCTTCTCATCATCTCATAGACCATTCTCTAGGATAGATCAATGTTAGGTCACAAAATAAGTCTCAACAAATTTTAAAAAATAAAAATCAAATCAAGTATCTTCTTGACCACAATGGAATAAAACTAGAAATCAATACCCAGAGGAACTTTGAAAACTATAAAAATATGTGGAAATTAAGCAATGTGCTTTAAAATAACCATTAGACTAATGAAGAAATTAAGATGAGAATTTAAAAACTTATTGAAACAAGTGAAAATGGAAATACAACATACCCAAAGCTCTGGGATATGGCAAAACCAGCACAAAGAGGGAAGTTTATAACAATAAATGCCTACATCAAACAGTAGACAGATTACACATTAGCAATCTAATAATGCACCTCAAGGAAATAGAAAAGCAAAAACAAACCAAATCCAAAATTAGTAGAGGAAAAGAAATGATAAAGAACAGAGCAGAACTAAATTAAACAGAGACTTGAAAAACAATACAAAAGTTCAACAAAATGAAAAGTTTGTTATTTGAAAAGTTAAACAAACGTGATGAACTCCTAGCTAGAGTAACCAAGAAAATAAGAGAGATGACCTAAATAAACAAGATCAGAAATAAAAAAGAAGACATGACAATCGATAATGCAGAAATACAAACGATCATTGGAGGCTATGATAAATGCTGACAAATGGGGAAACGTAGAAGAAATGAATAAATTCCTGGAAACATACATCCTATCAAGATTAAATCAGGAAGAAAGGGAAAACTTGAACCCACCGGTAACAAGTAGTGAGACTGGCTCAGTATTAAAAGGTTTCCCACAAAGAAAAGTTCAGAATCAGATGGATTCACAGCCAAATTCTACCAAACCCACACAGAAGAACTAATACCAATCCTTCTAAAACTTCCAAAAAATTGAAGAGGAGGGAATTCTCCCAAACTAATTCTATGAGGTCAGCCTCTCCTTGATTCCAAAAAAATAAAACCACAGGTCAATAAGTTTGATGAAAATAGATACAAAAATCCTCAACAAGATACTAGCAAAACAAACCCAACAGCACATCAAATAGATAATACACCATGATCAAGTGGGATTTATACTAGAGATGTAAGGATAGTTTAACATACACAAATCAATAAATGTGATACATCACATCAACAGAATGAAGGACAAAAACCATCTAATCATCTCAATAAATACAGAAAAAGCACTTGACAAAATTCAAAATACCTCTATAATAAAAACTCTCAACAAACTAGGCATAGGAGAAACATACCTAAAAATGATAAGGCCATATATGAAAAACCCACAGCTAATATCATAATAATGGAGAAAACTGGAAAGCCTTTCTGTAATATCTGGAACAAGATGAGGTTGCCTGCTTTTAACACTTCTATTCAACATAATACTAGAAATTCTGGCCAGAGCAATTGGGCAGGAAAAAGAAATAAAAGACATCCAAATTGGGAAAGAGAAAGTTAAGTTATTGTTCTTTGCTGATGATATGATCTTATATCTAAAAAAAACCCTGAAGTTTCCACCAAAAATGTTTATATTTGATAAATGAATTCAGTAAACTTACAGTTACAAAATCAGTGTTCAAAAATCAGTAGCATTTCTATACACCAATAGTAATCTAGCCAAGAAAGAAATAAAAAAAGTAATCTGATTTTCAATAGCTACAGAAAAAACCCCTAGGAATAAATTTAATGAAGTAGGCGAAAGATCTCTACAAGGAAACTACAAAACACTGATGAAAGAACTTGAAACTGACACAAATGGAAAAACATACCATGCTCATGGATTGAAAGAATTAATATTATTAAAATGGCCATATTGTCCAAAACAATCCCTCTCAAAATACCAGTCATTCTTAACAGAATTAGAAAAAACAATCCTAAAATTCATATGGAGCCAAAAAAGAGCCCAAATAGCCAAAGCAATTCTGAGCAAACAACAACAAAAAAGCGAAGGCATCACATCACCTGTGTTCAAAATATTAATATATAGCCTCGTAATCAAGGCTATAGGAACTAAAATAGCATGGTACTGCCATAAAAATAAACACATAGACCAATAGAACAGGATGGAGAACCCAGAAATAAAGCCACATATTTACAGGCAGCTGATCTTCAACAAAGCCAACATGAACTTACATTGGAGAAAGGATACTCTCTTCAATAAATGGTACTAGGAAAATTAGATAGTCACGTGAAGAACAGCAAAACTGGATCCTTGTCTCTCACCACATACCAAAACCAATTCAAATGGTTTAAAGACTTAAACGTAAGGCCTGAAACTATAAAAATACTAGGAGAAAAACCTAGGAAAAACTCTCCTAGATGTTGATGTTGGTCTGGGCTATTTATTTATGTATTTAGTTATTATTTTTTAGTCCGAGTCTCACTTTGTAGCTCAGATTACAGTGTAGTGGCACCATGACAGCTCACTGCAGCCTCGATCTCTTAGGCTCAGGAGATCCTCCCACCTCAGCCTCCTGAGTATCTGGGGCTATAGGTGCATGCCACCATGCCTGGCTAATCTTTTGATTTTTGTAGAGATGAGGTCTTGTTGTGTGGCCCAGGCTGTTCTTGAACTCCTGGTCTCAAGCAATCCTCCTGCCTTGGCCTTGCAAAGTGTTGAGATTACAGGTATGAGCTACCAGGCACGGCCTAAGAGTTAATGATTAAAACCTCAAAAATAGTCAATAAAAACAAAAATTGTACTGTAATCAGATGATGGATACCCTCAATACTCTAAGTTGCACTTTATATTTATCTAACAAAATTTCTTATGTACCCCATAAATTTGTACAAATAAAAAATACCTAACAATGTGTTCTTAATTTTTAGTGATCACATTTACGAGAGGGGACCCCCAAAACCAGGAATTTATTTATAAAAAATTGTGTATTTATTCTTACATATTTAAATCTTAGACACCTTTAAAGTACTCTCCATTCGATGCAATACACCTATCGATATGCTTTTTCCAATGCTCAGAGTTTTTGAATTCATTAATTTTGATGTCTTTTAGTGCTTCTGTCATTTTTTGTTTCACCTCTTCCACAGTGGCAAAATATTTCCCTTTGAAGACTTTTTTTTTCATCTGGAGAAACATTAAAAAAGTTGTTTGGAGCAAAATCGGGTGAATAGGGAGGGTGGGGAGCAGGGAGCATGTCGTTTTGGGTCAAGAACTGCCGAACACTCAGAGAGGTGTGGGGCGGGTGCACTTGTCAATCACCCACCATGAAATGGGCCAACGCACTGAAAGACTGCAAAAAAAATTCGCCGAAGCTGAAGACAGCCTCTCATAACACTAGCTGGTACACTGATGCCAATGGATTCCCAGTACCCTTACCTAGTGGGGGAAGCCTCTACTCTAAGGAGCCTGCCCTTTAAAAGATAATTCCAGGTTTGGAGGTCACTCCTCATATAGTAGGATTCCACATATGCAAAATTACACATGTATAGGGAAGCAGATTCATATGAGGATGTATAAATTGGACTTAAGAGCTAGAGATGATAGGTTTCAGGAGAATTTAAATCCTTCCTTATGCTTTTCTTTCCTGTCTGAGTTGTTTTTTTTTTTTAAACCAGATGTGCGCATTGCAACTCTAATCAGGAGTAAATACATGTATTTTTGTTGTGGATAAAAAGACAATGTTATATACACGCTTAGTGAAGAGACGTTGAAGTGATGTAAAATGATAGTCAGTGGAAAGAAAGTCCTTCTTGTTCCCTGACCCCCCTTCTCAGAGGGGACCCAGTGGCCCGTTTTCCAGCAGATCCTTTGAAGCGTCTATGCACATAAAGGCATGGTGGTTTGTGTGGGGTCACGTCCTGACCCTCATTCTGACTGTCCTCACCCCACACACAGTCATTGAAATGTGCTTAATAGGAGTTCTTTTATCTGGATGCGGTCTCGTAAATTACGTACTGTTGTTTTGTGGGTGTGGATTATTTATTTAAATAAATGTTGATGGGTTAGAGATGTCATTCTGTTTCTTTATTTTCTCCTTTCAGTACTGCACTTCAAAGATCTACCCACTGCTATGTGTCATCTAGCCTGTGTTTCTCATGACTGCAGGGAACACCCCACCCAGTATTTAACATGTGTGATATAATCTCCCCACTTGTTTTTTTTTTTTTTTTGAGTCGGAGTCTCACTCTGTCGCCCAGACTGGAGTGCAGTGGCCGCTCCCGGCCACCGCAGCCTCGACCTGTCCAGCTCCGGCGATCCTTCCGCCTCAGCCTTCCGAGTAGCCGGAATTATAGGCATGCACTACCACGCCCGGCTGATTTTTTGATTGATTGTAGAGACGAGGTCTCGCTGCCAGGCGGGTCTTGAACCCGCGGGCTCAGGCCATCCACTCACCTCAGCCTCCCAAAGGCGCGGGATGACAGGCTGAGCCACGAGCCCGGCTCCCACTTTTTTAAAAAAACATAAATGGTAGCCTACTCTCGTGCAGACATCAGTCACAAGTCACCTGAATATGTTGTTATATTGTGACTTGAGAAGGACTGGAGAATAGCAATATCGGCCAATGTCGTCATACTCCAAAAGAGAAAAGAGGACCAACCTAAGGTGATGAAAGTAGGTTTGGGAATGAGGGAGCGATCAGCTGTGAGCAACAGCAGAACTTGCTAGCAGTTACTAAGCACTGTTAGAGTACATGCATTTTCTCGCTTAATGAAATCTACCCTATCAGGTATTATTATTCCCATTTTACAGATAGAGAAATCGAGGCTTAGAAAAGTTGTCTCTCGCATCAGGCTCACCTAGTAGGAGAGAGCTGGGACCGGACTCAGAGGTTCTGAAACTATGGCCTCTGTCCCAACCACATTATACTTCTTTCTCTGTCGGTGGGAGTTTTCACCAGGAGTCAGGTCTTGTCTTTTGTTTATTTCAATTTCCACTCATATTCTTCTCCTAGAGATCCCTACTTAAGAGCATTCTCTGTGGGGGTGGCTTTTTAAAAATTTTTTAATTGTTAATTTTTATTTATTTATTTTTGAGTTGGAGTCTCACTCGGTCGCCCAGACTGGAGTGCAGT